GAAATTGGCACGCCGAGGTCAGGGTACCGAGGATTTCTTATTTTCAATTTGTGCATTTTTTCTAGTTTTTTTTGTCGCGCGGCTGTCCGAGGGGCTCAATTTCTTAAACCAGTGATTTCTTAAGCAGTGCTGTTGCTGTAGTTAAAGTTCGATTAAGGTACTGCACCTCACTCAAACTGTTCCACCTCTCAAGCAAGGCCCTCCTGGATCAGCATGGGCGGACCTGCAGGCATCTCAACTTGCATGCCCGCGCTGTCATGGCCCGCAATCCCAGCGCTGCTGTTGACGATCTCCTCGCTGCTTCGCAGCCGCCCGGCTTTACTGGGCCCTACTCATCAGGACCTGGACAAGCAGACGGGCATAGCGTCGACACAGACAGTCTTACTCTTTGCGTGGCCGCACTTCTCGAAGTCCCATACTTTGATGCTGGGAGGCGATTTCCGAGCGAGTGTGTATACCCATCCCATTCCTTGTGTTCCTTATGTTTGGCATCACTAGCCTGAACCCTTCACGCTCTACGACCCCCAAATCCTTGCGAATCTTCCGCCTCCCTCCTTCCCTCCTTGCCTCACTCGCTCGCCTTTTCTCCATCTTTACGCTTCAGAAGACACTGTGGACAAGCCGTCTCGAGCTATGCCAACCTTCGAAGAAAGGCTAAATCCTGGCTGCGCCACCACTCGGCGGCTATTGAAAAGGGCCGAGCGGCTTGTGGAACGATTCTTGTTTGCAAGAAGTTCCCAATGCTTTTATAAGCACTCAGTATAGCAAGCAGAAAGAACAAAGGCAGCGGCCAACATCGCGATGATGATACGTCAGCTCTAGTACTCCTAACACTGCCTGGCCCCTTGATCTCTCAGAGCTTGGTTGGTCGCTTCACGCAACGTGCCAGTTGTGTTGAAAGCTGAGAAAGGCATGCCCCACCCAAAACCGGACGTGGGAAAAATGCAGCAACCTGTGCTGCTCGCCGTCGGATCCTAAAAGCTCCAGTGCCGAACCTCGTCACTGGCGAGCAGGGGGTTTTGGCAATTGGAGCCCCTCATTAAGCCAGAGGCTTGAGTTTGCAATACTGGTAGCACCTGCGAGTCTTTGTCTCCCGGAATCATATGTCTCTCAGGCTTCGCACCCCGACCGCTGAGTTGCGAGAGTCGAAACAGTAAACGCCACCTCCACAACTTCTGCAAGACTCTTGCGAATTCTGTTCTATGTGTCCTGTCAGCCCTGAGAAATTTGTTATCAGAGTTGGAGTTGTAGTAGAGCTTCTGTCGTAGTAGCAGAGTATGGTGGCAAACTAGAAGATGCAGTTAAGGTTCAGGAGACCTTGCGACGCTAGAGCCTACCTAGATACATTGTATATACTTACACATACATGTCAAATACATAATATTTGTATTAATTTCTATCTATCTATCTATCTATCTATCTATCTATATACACACACATACGCATACAAGTTTGTATGTATGTTTGCTCTTATATATATATATATTTATTTCTGTTTGTTCATGTCTATACAAAACACACATACTGTTCTTGAAACGCAAACAGACCAGAAACAACTGCGAGGCGCACAGAGAGCTCAGCGCTGGTTCGACGGCCGCGGCGCTGACAAGCGGACGGCAGAGGCGAGAGTCAGGGCAATGCGGCAATAAGACCTGTGTCTGAACAATGACATATTGTGATAATGATGATGATGATGACGCGGAAGAAGAGGATGAGGGTGACGAGGAAAATGTTGTTGTTGTTGATGATGATGATGAGGGGTATGTTGTTGATGATGCTCATGATGATGATGATGATGATCCGCAGTGACATTATGATTCAGCGCCCGCCTCGTGGTGGGAAGAAGACGTCGTCGTGGTGGTCATGGTCTTCGTGGTGGTGGTGGTGATGATGGTGGTGTGTTCTGCTTGCAGAGTTTAGACGACCCGAGATCACGTGGCACATGGGATTCAGAGTCTCTCGCTCCTCGTGTTGCAAGCACAAGGCCAAACGGCAGCTGTTTTCAGCCTCTGAAAACTCAGGGCTCCAGATTTTGGGCTTCTTCGAAAGGGAAGAATGAGATAGATATGGCTTCAAGATCGGCAAGATTCGACAGACATTAGAGCAGTCAGTGTTCCTACAGGCTATGTGAGAGCACTTGGTTCTGCGGTCTAGTCTTGAGGGTGCCAGGGTGCAGGGCCCGCAGCAGCATGGCGGCGGCGACGGTTCGGAGGCTCCTGGCCGTGGGTGGCTTCGTGGCACTCGAGAATGCCGTGGAAGCCACAGGCGTGGGTGCCCTGTTGCCATCGCCACTGGTAGGAATGTTCGGCCTTTTCGGAGTGCTGCTTTGCCTGGACAAATGTGGCTATGGATCGATTGCAAGCTTCATGTTTCAGTGCTCAGAGCCGGGCTATCGATTCCTCTTCAAGTGGGCCCCAGTGTTCTTCACGCCTTCTCTCATCAAGTTGCCGCTGGTGGAGGAGCCCATCACCGGCGCGGAGTTCTTCCGCCTCGTCGTACTTCTCTTCGTCGGCGCCCTATTGCAGATGGCCTTGGTGGCGACTGTGGCGAACTTCCTGGGCTCCCTTGTGCCAGAATCGAAGATAAAGGATGAGGCCGAAGATGCAGTCCAGGCCCTTCCGGGCATGACCCCAAAGAACGCGGAGCCCTACCCGCGACCTGGCATCCCATACAAGCGAAGATGGCTTCCCGTGTATGCAGTCATCATGCTTGCGGCGCTGATTTTCCTAAAGCTTGGCCACCAGTCTCGACTGGTTGAGTCCGCCTTCATCATGAGCGCTACCCTCCTTGCCTTCGTCGTAGGCAACTGTGCTGGGCCGACCTTCAAGACGCTGATGCCGCCTGTCTTTGTCGGTGTCTTCGGTGGCTGGCTCGCCATTGCTCTGTGGGCCCGAGAGGACGATGTGGAATCATTCCATGATGTCCTGGTGCGCTACTCGAATCCTGGAGGCGGCGGCCCTGTGCTCTCCAGGCTTTTGAACCCATTGGTGATTTCTCTGGGCTTGGTGCTCTTCGAACGTCGTCACCTGCTGCAGCGAGACAGCACTGTCATCGTCGGAACGGCCGGAATTGCAGCAGTGACTGGCCTCTTTGGTTCAGTTCTCCTTGCACGAGTTCTCGCCTTGCCGAAGGGCCTTGCTCACTCGACGACGCCTCGCTTCTGCCAGGCTGCACTGGCTCTGACGGTGGCAGGCTCCCTAAAGGCATCGCCGCCGCTCGCAGCTGCCATAGTGGTGTCGTCTTGCTCCATCGGAGTCGTCATTTCGAAGCCTTTGATGAGCTGGTTGAAGATGGAGGGCTCGCGAGAGCGTGGACTTTCGGTTGGAGGAGTGGCCCACGTGCTTGGCACCGTGTCCCTAGCGTCCTGGGACAAGGATGCCGTGCCCTATGCTGCTGTGTGCTCGGTCTTGGCCAGCGGCTTCACCACGGCCTTGGTGGTTATCCCTTCCGTGGAGTCGGCTCTACTGTCGCTTCTGCCATGAGCAGGCCACGAAGACAGTCGTGCCACATCCCCGGGACAGTTCAAAACGCATAGCTTGTGAACAGTTTTGGCTAATGCTCTGAAATTTTCGGTGTCGCCAGGCGTCCCGAAGTTTTCCCATCACAGGTGGCCCCGTGCGAAGGCACAGGCTTACCCGAGACGCCGCGCGAGCATGATGTGAGAAAGAGTTTGCGTATCGTGTCATGATGCTTCTCCGCCAGGGCTCGCACCGTGCATGGGACGTGTTGTCCATGAAGCATAGCGCCCTAGAGCCCAAGTCCTACAGGGCGCCAATTTTATCCCCCTTTCTCAAACAGGCTCGAAGCGCCGTGCTTTGCTTCCAATGTGGGCGACTGCGCTCTGATGGTCATGTTGGCGAGGCTCAGAGGGATAGAATAACAGAGCATATTCGTCACATTCGCATGGAGATACATTGATGCAGGGAGCTACTATAGTACCTATAGCTAGCTGTAGAAAAGGGGCGCTCCGTTATGTTTGTTTTGCTTTGCCGACATTTGACATGGTTAGACGAGGCAGCTGTTGCTGTCATATTCGTATCTATAAGTTTTCGGTTCAAGCCATACTCTCGATGAGTTTTATGACTCATTTTAGGCCATGGACGTGATCATGGTTGAGCCATGGATGCGGTATTCTCAGATCTGACGAGACCCTGAACGTCATGGGGTCCTGCTGGCCCCATGGATGCATGCCAGAGCGGATCATATTAAACCATCGACATCATCATGGTTGCGACATGTTCTCAAAACGCATGGACATGATCATGGTTGGCCAATGCTGAAAACGGATCAGACCATGAACTCATGGACATCCTCAAGGTTGGGCCATGAGTGCTTTGTTTTGAAAACGTGCGACATACAGGTTGCTTGAAGTACTTCCGGTGCCAGTAATTACTTTTCTGCAAGTGTGAGAGTAGAGGCAGCAGTCTGGCACCCGAAGATTGGCATTTCTCCTAGCCGAAGAACTTGCACTGCTCCGTATAATATCGTTCGTGCACATAGCCGGGAGGAGCTTTCAAAAATGGAGGAGCATTGTCCAGAGAAGCTGCGGGCTGGCGATCCGTGAATCCTGTTGTGGATTCAACAAGAGCAGAGTTTTCTGCTAGTTTTGAGGACTCATTATTCACACATCACCATTCTAAAGCAACGTGTCGATGCATGTATGTAGCTTGCTGCCTTTTTTCATATTACACATCACCACATGTTCATCCGAAAAGAAAGCACGATTCAGAACTGCTTCGTCGAACCCCCTTCCGAAGCACTTATCCAGGCATAGGATATTCAGGGGGCNNGGGGGGGGGGGGGGGGGGCGGATAGGCAGCCCACCCACTCAGTTGGCACCCCAATGACTGTGCTTTTACCGATCTGTGTCTGACTGAAAGGTGGAGGATCGAAAACTTTGTGGCCTGCGATGGTTTGATTGGGTTTGTATCGGCATGGAGATGGGATACATCGTAAGAATTGTTGAGAACCTCGCAGAAATAGATGCGCGGCATTCTGTGTGGAACCCCGTCGCAAAAGTCGGAAACCCGCGCTTAAACCAGCAGCAGCCACATCTTATAGTTAGCGCTATTTTACAACCCTGGGCTTGTCATCCTCTGGACCTCGCTACACGTCCCCATCCTTTCAATTATGGAGCGCACCAGCCCAGACACCTGCAGCTTAACATTATGAGTGCTTTCTGGGAGTCCGTGCTTTGGTCCCAAGCTGCATCCTTTACGCATGGAGTCTCTACGCGCCCAAGCGATGCTTTGACGTTTGAGAGGCTGACTCGAAGATGGCTGGCCGGTACCTTTGTGAGGATCCTGCGCAGTTGAAGTTTGTAACATGGTAGTTTGTGGCTTCGAATGCTCATTTTCCTGTCCGACTTGAAGAGAGCTTCGTGCTTCCTTGCTCGGACACAAGCGCGAAAGCCCGGCGGTGGTTTGGAGAGGAGTGCTGGAGCTGCTTCCGAAAGATCCGTCGCTGTCAGCAGCTTGAACTTGATCGACGTGTGGAGAAGGCCAGACGTCGACCATGCAGTCATCGGGCCTCTTCGAAGATTTTTGGGCTTCAGCTCTGTTTTTGAACCAGATGAAGGTCTCGGTAGTAAACCCATTTGATCCCATTTGACTAGACTTAAAGCGAGGTAGAATTGATTTGAATTGGGCCGGGGGGAACTGCTGATCTGCTCGCATCGTGCGAGAAGTGCACAGAGTCTGGACGGCTGAGCTGGACAGGCTACTTACTCCGACTACAGCACAGCTACCGATGAGCTGCCCTCTCTGGAGGTGCGCTTCGTCCGGCTCACTTACTGCAGGGCAGCATGGACGTCTCCATATTGCGATGTGCGACTGTAGAGGACTACGTGAGAGTATATGCTGTCTATATGCATACGACATGTCGCGTCTGATGAGCGTCCAACACAATCGAACAGAGAGTGCCCGGTGTGAAGTGACAGGATGTGCCCCAGGACTGGGACCGTCGGCATCCCATGCTGCTCGGCTTGTCGCAGGTGCAGTACAAGCAGCATAAGCACCAAGCCCAAAAGTCGAGATGGGGTGAACACTAGTTGCTTGCCTCATGTCTTGAATCCTTGACGTGACCGGTCGGGAGCCTTATGACATGCAACAAAGTCTCTTTCAGCTCCTATGATTCCTTACAGCGTAGGGTACCAGCACTCAAGGACCAGGAGATTCATTGGGACGGTTTTGCAAAAGGCCCCTTGCTTGTCGGCAGGCCATCCCAACCCCGTTGACTTTCAGTCTGTCGCCTTGTCATCGATGCTTTCCAGTCTTACGATGATGGTTGTGATATGTTATGATCGTATGTTACTGTTATTGGCTCCGTTTTGCTATGAAGTTGGACTTCGAGAGTCGTGGATCCCGAGATCTTGGATCCCACTTAATTCAAAAAGAGTTCAATATTCAACACCAGTCGAACAATGTTCACAACTTTGGGGACAAAGCTTGACACGAGATGTAGAGCAACAAACCCCTTTGAGATGAGGTGGCAGCGCTCGAATGAGACGAATCCGGACTGGCAGCTTCTGCGCCCCAAGAGAGCGCTTTGGCCATGGGTCAGTCGGGACGTGAAGCAAAGCCCAGGGTTTCGAGGAGCGCCTTTTTTTCGGTAAAGCCTTCCTGGACACTAGAGCGCGTAAGTCGACGACAGCAGCAGGTGGAGCTGCAAAGGCCTTTCTGGGAAAATGATGGAAACATGTCCCACTTTTGTGACAGCAGATGGCCTCGTTCTCGCGAACAGCCAGCATGCATGCCATCAAAACCGTGATCCACCACAGCAGGCGTATTTCACACCATCATGCCGCGAATGCTTTAAAACGAATGAGCTACTGCAATGTCCATACATTCCGTCTCGGCAACTTGCTGCCTGGTAAACATGCTGCTACGGCTTTTCAGCAAGGCGTGTTTTGTGCAAGTCCGCAGTGCAACGTACATCAGTTGCAGAACATCCTCGTCCTGCGACATTGTGGCATGTCCTCTTGGGCTGCTTTCACCACCAAAGTGCAAGAATGGGCCTGATTTGCAAGAGCTGGTAGAGCTAAGACGCCTCGAAATTCTTCAAACTTGGGCGGGATACAGTACGTCTGGTTGCCAACCGTTCTGGGTCAAGCCAAGCTCTTGTAGCTCCACAAGGCTCTCATGTTGAGAAGGAGGTGCTGTTACAGCGAAGGTAGTGGTTATGTCTCTGTGTGTGGGTGCATATTTACGCCACGATGTGTATGCAGATATAATAAAGCAGTTCAGGTATGTATGTGATGTTCAGACAGCTAAGTACGTTAATGCAGACAAACACGGCAGGTCATCACCCAGGTGCCCAGGAAAGCCACTCTGACAGGTTGACAGTGGGAGCATCTTTTGTTGCTACCGTAGTACCCTAAACCCGAAACCTCTGGGCACTTTCGGACGCGGAGCTTTCCAGTGTGGAGAATACCACTTGACCTGACTTCTCTTGAGGCTGCCACGCAGCCAGAAAGCCTCCTGACGGCAGTTGCTGCAGCTCAAGACGTGCCTGCAGATGCTGAATGTTGAGTGTGATGCTTCATACACATGTCCACAGGTTTTGCAGTTGTTGATTGACTTCCGGCACGGCATGCTCGCGGCACCGTGACGGACGAGACAGTGGATGTGTGGTTATGGAGGAGTGCAGCGGGGACGATTCGGTTTGCGTGCCCGGTCCAGGTGGTCGGAAGGCCAGCTGCCAACGAAGCCAAGTCATCGCGACGACCCATGATGCACCACGACTCGCATGCTGTGTACATGCGTCGGCCATGCACCAAAGCTCTGACCTTGGACTGTGGGGACGTCCTTTTGTATCATGGGCGACGTTCTGCGGCAGGTCTGTTGCTGCTTGCAATGGACGACTCAATGTGGCTGGAGTTGCTCTAGTCATCACATCAGGCAGCCGTGGGAGAGGCATACGACTTGTTTCTGGATGATGATAAGACGGAGAAGCATGGAGCATATGCCCAAGGCAACCGTTCTATGATGCCATGCAATGACTGATGCCGCTTACACTCCAGTGAGTGCTCGACTGCAATGCAGCCGCCTGTGCGGCTGCTGGGCAGCACATGAGCAGGACCGTCGATGGAAGACTAAGCAACCTGCACCACAGCCAGACTCTAAAGGAGCAGGCCAAAAACATTGCATCGCAAGTCTTAGGCCTGGGACTGTTATTGATGTCCATGACCTCCGGCTCATGTCAGGCGGTGGCTCTCTACGGCGAGTACTCTGAACAACAGGCCCGAGCATTGATGAGTCGAATGCTGGTACATGTCAGGTCTTTCAGGGCATTAAAGGCATTACCCATGCTTTCCTCAAGAAATGGGTGCGCTCTGCATGTCAATTCGATTGGGCTTTCGCTCCGAAGGCTAGGTGAAAGGACCCTGGGATTCTGCCCAGCACAAACTAAACCCAAATATAATGGAATATAGTGTAATATAGTATAATATACTATAATGTACTATAGTATGTATTGCATGTCA